GATTTATGGATATCCAGATTGCTCAACTGGTCTTTAACCCATTCCTCATCAACTAAGGCAGACCGCTCCGTTGACCTATCTTCATCCGAGGTCTCAGCGGTACAGGGCTCTTCAGGACTGCCAGTGTCATATACATATGTGAAGCATAGTCAAGGTGCTGCACCCTGTACTCAGAGTGCTCAAAGAGCTTTACTAGCTATTCTTTCCTCTTGACTTCAAAACTGCTGCTAATATACTCAAATACATTATATGGTATTTTGCAACTTTCTTACGTATTCATAAAAATTAGACAGAAATATGACTTGCAAGCTGAAACTAAAACTACTAGTAAGAATTTTCGTAACAAATCTTCTGCTAAGGTCATCCAGCCTACAGTGCTTTGCAGTATAAACACAGCTATGTTCAGATACACAGACTGTTTTGAGAAGACTGAGAAGTTCTTGAGACAGTCAGTTCCAATGTCCCTCGCAGTCGTGTAAACTGGTACCAGTCTTGTGAATATTCAGCAACATGATTTCAGTCCAGAAATACATACACGTTGGCATTTACTCATTTATCTACTATTGCTGCAAATCAACCACAGGATTACTAGAACTGGAATAAGGAAAACAATGGAAGCATTTGTTGACAGAGCCACAAAGGATTAGAAATAAAATCCAAAGCAGGTGCTGTAAACTAAGGTACTTCTACCTTTTGGGGTTTTTTAGAGTAACTACAACTGAAACTGCTTGTTTTGCTAATATTTATTAAACATGCTTTAATATTTGTATTATTTTGATTAATAGAAATATGCTCCTTTATGGCTATATTATTACCAGTTCATAATAATATGACTGCTATTTTCGTACATTCATTCAGTACCCTTTCTACTTCCATTTACTATTACTTGTATCTATGATACTACTAAGGTGAGATACTGGTAATGAAGACCTCAAGAAGACACAGTATTTGGTTATACACAGCTGCACTGGCAACTTGGCTTATCGTTTGCCCCCACCCCCAAAAAAAACCCAGAACTGTTCAACTGCTCTTATTGTCCAAAAATTTCAGAACAAGACCATGCTAATGATTTGTGTGCAGTTCTGGTGTCCTCAACATAAAAAGGACATGGAACTGTTGGAACAAGTCCAGAGGAGGGCCATGAGGATGATCAGGGGATTGGAGCACCTCCCATATGAAGATAGGCTGAGAAACTTGGGGCTGTTCAGCCTGGAGAAGAGAAGGCTGCGTGGAGACCTCCTAGCAGCCTTCCAGTATCTGAAGGGGGCCTATAGGGATGCTGGGGAGGGACTCTTCATTAGGGACTGTAGTGATAGGACAAAGGGTAATGGGTTCAAACTCAAACAGGGGAAGTTTAGATTGGATATAAGGAAGAAATTCTTTCCTGTTAGGGTGGTGAGGCACTGGAATAGGTTGCCCACGGAAGTTGTGAATGCTCCATCCCTGGCAGTGTTCAAGGCCAAGTTGGATGAGGCCTTGGGTGATATGGCTTAGAGCGAGGTGTCCCTGCCCATGGCAGGGGGGTTGGAACTTGATGATCTTAAGGTCTTTTCCAATCCTAACTATTCTATGATTCTATGATTTTTACCAGAAATGGGAAATATGAAGAAACAGAATATGAGACTGAAATCTCAAGTAAGTATGACATGGCCTTTTATCAAGGCATAGTCATGAAGCATCTCTTTAAAAGAAACAGAGCTAAAGTTACTATAATCAGCAAATATTTCAAAGATTAGAATGCACTTACAGCATGGTGCAAACACGAAAAATGCTGCAAGTACTCAATATTTATCATTATCAGTGGAACCTTTATAAGAGTTCTCATACTTCAAAACCATGTTCCTTCTTTCTTCTGCATCTGAAGGGAATAGTAAGAGAGGTCAAGTCTGAGGAAGAGCAACTCAGACTCAAAAGAAATACAAAAGTTTATCTGTTCCTTTCAAAAATGCTGATGACCAGTCAGCTGCAAAGGAAACAGATCCACACGTCCTCACTGTATGACTGCAAACAGTGTATTTCTTGTCTCCCTGCTAGAGGTTTGTGCAAACCATGATTCATAACAATTTGGATTATTTAAAGGGACAAACAAAGGCTGTGAAATATTATAGCTGTTTTACTGAAGAGTACTGTAGTTGTGTGATGTCAAAACCAGTGCAATTGATACTAAAGCCTTAAGAGCTCCCAGGAAAAACAAAATAACCTTTCACAGCTGGACAACAAGATGACTGGTGGTTTCCAGCTACAATCTAAAACTGAGAAGAAAGTACTGTGGAAGAATACTTGAGAGTGAGATGTTCTATAAATTAAAATAGGGTTTAATGAGAGCACACAGGTCTAATACAACTTTTGAATTTCACTTTTATACTTTCAGTTCAAAACTTGAGAGACAACACGCCGCAAAGGAAACTAGCAATGTTTCGAATCACTCAGTATTATCCTGTCTTCAAAGTGGCTTCTATGAGTTGTGAATCTTGGCAACAGCAGTAACATTTCAGGGCAAATTCTCCTACTGCTAACATATTCCAGTAGTAATGAAAACTCACAAATGAAGTTATAATAGCATAGCTGGGGAACGGCTGTTATGATAATCCTTGAAGGACTGCAAGACTTAGCCTCAAAATGTATAAAAACTTTCTATTTCAAACTTACTTGTGACAGGGAAGCCACCACGAACTGTGCTGCTTACACAGTAAGCATACACAAAAAAGGTCTTCACAGTGTTAAGAATCAGAGTTGTTGCTTCCTTTAGTCAGACCATTTTTAAATCAAAACCAATAACAAGCAGAGGAGGACTAAGACAGAAATTAATGTTCATCCATGATTTTCAGCCTTGTAAAGCTACTTTTATACATTCAAGCAAATTGTACAGTGACTGACATGAACAAAATGACAGTAATCTGTCACTGTTTCACATTTCTCAGTAGGCTGATTCACATAGTTATTTATGAACCTTACACTTCAATGGTCACTTTGATGACTAAACCATAAATTAGAATGTAAAGTGAATATAAATTTGATTTTGGAGCAACAACAACAAATTGTCAGCAAAGTGGGATATTATTTAATTTCTATCAACAAGCTATGAAAAAGTCATCACTACCAAGACGTGCTGCACCATAATAAACCCCAAACTTAGCAAAAAAAAAAAAAAGTATGCTAGAACTCATGTTTCCTTCAGTGCTTCTGCATTTAAAAATAAAATCACTTTCTATTATGCTTGGTTAGTTTTAAATAGAATGTCTTCATAATGTCAGATGACTTCATTACTTAGATCTTCAATTAAACAGGGAACAAAAATGCATTTCTTTCCACAGACATGATTAAATTTGACAGCAAGTAAATATTAATATGAATTTAGATGCTAAGGCTTTTAATAGTCCTGATGAAAAGCTTATGTTTAAGACAATGTTAGTATTTTTCCAAGATTTATCTTTTGCTTTATAGCTGAAAGTGAGATGACACTGAAACATAATAGAAATTCTGCAAAGAACAACGGTTTTCAATTTTTTAGAAAAACTTTTGGGGTGGTGGGATGGATGTAAGTCAACCCCCCCCCCCCCCAAATCCTTACTGCCCAAATATCAAGCCTTGAGGGACCCGTGCCAAAATTATCTTGACAAACTAATTTTCTCTTATCAGATTATTTTCTGTTAAAAAGTTTTGTTGTCTATTCTGTTACTATGAGTGTTACTGTCTTTTACTCCTGCAAACATATAATATACACACATACACCTTTTCAAAACTTAATGCAGCATGATTATACTTTGATAAATTTCTGGAAGGGTGACATATAAGAGATACTCCAACGTAAGTTTCACTGTTTTAGCAGTGACAAAAATGGGATGTTGTGTCAGACTCCTTAATATTCCTAACTTTTCAAGTATGTTTTTCCTGAAATTCTTACATAGAATGATACCAAAATGTGATCTAATTCAAAACTACTTTAGCAGATTCGTTTTGCGTGTGGGAGAAACCTCTTAAATAGCTGAGATTTGAAACAAACAAGCAAAACCCTGCAGCTTAGCAGTAACTGAAGCCATTCTGCATTATTCTGGTATGTCCCTGGGCAAAGACAACCCTCCCAGGTAAGAAACGCCTAACAAAAAGATAGGTACTTAATGTCATTTGCTTGACAACATTTTGATACTAATGTATTAAACACTAGTTTTCTATGTTTGCAAAACTAAAACATGTGTTGAGATTTTTGTGTAAGCACATGCATATGTTTATGTATGATCAAAATGTTCACTAGAAACCAATGAATTCAGAAAGTCCTTAAGACCAACTACTCCTTTACAAAGGACGGTGAGTGGATATACCAGAGAGATTAGTGAAGCCTGCCTGCTCTTCCTAGACTTTCAAAGGCAGCTGAAAGACCTATCTGATGCCAAGGGACAATCTTTAAGCTAAAAGAAAAACCAGCATCATAAAATGTGCAAGACCAGACCCACAACCTAGAAGAGTCCACCCTGAGTCAAGAGCCCACACCGTTTTTAGAGAAATGGTATATTTTTGTCAGGGTTTAAAGTAACAGAGTCATCTGGGTGTTCACAGGACTCAGACAGGAGAGAAGAGTTTAATTTTGGCTCAGATGAATCAGTAGAACCATGTTTTGCCAAAAGCAAAGTTTGAAAAACTTTATTTTAGCAAGACGTACCCATCATCTGACTCAGAACTGCCTTTTGTTATTTAGGCTTATAGAACCAGGAAGAAGCATCATTCAAGTCAGGGTACCCCAAACATTAAGGTTCTACAAATCAGCATCCTCATTTCAGCATCTCAGATACATTATCTATGAAGCAGAGCAGTACTTCCCACCTGTTTCAAGTGCTTTGACACCTTGAAATTGAACTCTTCTCAGAAAAAGGAAGTACTTGCTATTACAAAAAGAGTTGTACCAGGTACCACATAGTTAACAACATTTTAAAACAAAAATAAATTTAGTACACCTCAGTCATCCATTTAATTTCATGGCAAAATGGTCACTGTGGTAGCTTTACTAATGTTTTCCTCATTTATCAAACATACAGTGTTTATATTATTACTGACAACCATCACAGAGCATTTTCTGACATGATGACAGGATTTATCTTAAGACACAATCCACAAGAGATTTTCTGCAGCATTTTACTATGGGACATCCCATATTCATAAATTGTTTCTTCTTTAATACAGCTTCCTTTAAGTGGCAAAAATTGACCCTGTGCATTCTTATCTTTTGCCACTGCTGTGATGGATACAATCCTCCTGTTGGAACTAACTGACTTTGGTTCAGGCAGGTACTAAGTACACCTGACCTAAGTTAATCCTATTTGGTGAGGTTTTACATGAGAACTCAGCACCAAAACCCCAAACCCCCAGTTTGACTGGAGACTGGGCTAATCAGCAGCTGAAATTGCATTAACACAGCAGATCTGACTACAAATCAACCACTTTATGCTGTAAATATCTCCAGGGTCTGTTGAGCTCTTCCTCAGTTGGCGCAGTTGGCTGTGCAGCAGTTATCTGCCCTTGAGAAGAGTCATCTCTCAAGGTTATCCCTCAAGGCTGAGAGATCCCTTACCTGACACCAAACATCCATCGGCTGCGTTTTTTTTGCATACGTGCAACATTTAAGATTATGTATAGTAAATTTAAATGATAATCTTTATATACTATACTAACATTAAGTATAGTAATAGTACTGAGCCCCAATCCGTCTGTACTGATTAAATATTTTACATACCTAAATTTACTGATTAGAATTCAGTTAACTAAGTACTAGCTCAGATCTGTCTGAGTGATCTCTGACTCTTCTCCTGTGACACTCCCTGCTTCATTGTCTTCTCCAGCCTCTGCCTCTAGTACTTCTCTGGAGAATACTGGATAGCAAGGCTCTCCAAGAGAAAACCTCAAAAAAAAGAGCAGAAAATGCTACTCATCACCAACAGATATGAGAAGAAAGCACCCCCAAATTGAAATACAATTGCATGGAGTCAATCCAATCTGAGCTGCTTCTTTCTGAAACTTTTAAAATAAAAAAATAGCAGTGTTTGGGTTAAAAAAAGATAGCAAAGCTATGGTAGCACAAAACATCTGCTTCCAGGAGAAAAATTTTCAAATAAATAATGTAACTCACACCAAAATATTCACATTTAATTGCCAAACTAAAGGGTCCAGCTTCCTCCTGAAATAAGAATCCAGCTAAATGACCTACTGGTTGTTAAAAGATTAATGTTAAAACAGACCATGGAGGAATAGGTGCACATATTAATTCCACATTTAGTAAAAGTACTACTGAGCTGAATGTGATACTATGGGTGTCAGGAAGCAAGGATTTTGCAAGGAGGGACAGCTTAAGCATTGCAAGAGCCATTAGTGAGTTCAGGCACAGAAACTTCCTTTCTTCACATTTCTAGTGGTCACTGCAGATAGACAGTGGGTATGTATGAGAAGTGATAAAGTATCTAAAGCTCAGTGAAGTATAATTCATGTCTGAATAATATGGTACCCAGTGGAAAGAACAGATACTATAAATGCTACTCAGACAATGTCAAGTGAAAAATATTGCCAGTGACTCAACTTTTTCCAAAGAGAAATCTATCCCATTGCTTGGACATATTTAGCCAGAATTTACTTAATTCACTTTAAGATTTTCTTGTTCTGCTACTGTTCTAACACTGTATCTGGAGGTGAGGAAAAACAAATACAGAAGGCAAGGCTATTCAGAGCGAGTGTCACAGTGACTCTTCTAAACCTGTGATGGAAGAAGGAAAGTGTGAGGAAACGAATCTAACACACATAAGCTAGAGAAAAAAGATTGAAAGGAAGAGAAACAGAGTGAAGAGACAGTAAAACAAACAGCAGAAAAGGTAACAGAAAAGCATATGAACTTTTGACAGCAAGGCCTGTTCCAGTTAATGCAACAAACATCCCTAAATCCCCTATTGAACCATCATGGATAAAGAGATGATTCCGACCTTCTCAAGCTCAGACATAAAAAAAAATGACTGTTCATTTAAAGATGTTTTGAGCAAGGATCTATTTTTTCCACCTGTAATGGCGTAAGACAGTTAACTGAGTGGAAGAGTTTTAAATAAGATGAAATAAACAAAACATACCTGCCGATGAATAACTTCTAGGTTTGCTTTGGCTTTATTCAGTAGTTCTTCTATTTTCCCAGAATCCTTTATATTCTTGTTTTCTCTGAAGGCATCTCTTATCCTTCTGATGGCATACGTTCTAAACACAAACAATAAGTTGACATGTATTCATAGATGTGCCACAGTTCATGATGTTTTAACATTCTTTAAGACATGCTGAACTTTAAAACCAATATACATACACAGTCCTAAATTTTTCCCAGTTTTATACATAATTATTTTTATTCAGGGTCTTGTATTGCCTGAGTTGAAACAGTGACCAGATTCTTTGCCTAGAAAAAAAGTGGTTTTACTGGAAATTATTGTAGAAAAAAAAATAATGTTTCACGTATCAGTCCAGTCCTTACTGCTTGTTATCACTATAAACACGCTGTTGTTCAGCATGGATACTGCAAAGCTCAAGAACATAACAGCAAGCCTAAGAATAAAAAAACATCCCCTAAATTATTTTGAATCAGTGCAACAATTCTTATTCTGGATACTCGAAAAGTCACTGAGCTAACTACTAAATGCACCACATATTATTATTAGTTCTGACTACAACAAAGGTAAGCTGATGGACTAACCTCTACAAAAAGGGCTCCTTCCCTGTCTCACCTCTTTCCTCTCCTAACAAAGCATATTTCATCCCTCGAACACCTCCTTGTCCATTCCCCACTAAGAAGCAATAACAGGACACAATCTCTTCAAGCAGGAAGATGGTATGATCCCTTCAGAAAAGGAGGTCCAAAGCTGTAGCTATCTCTGAATCTCTTCCTGTTCTTTTCAACACAGCAAAGAACCTTTAGGTAGTCTGTAGGGTATTGCTCAAAAAAAAAAAAAAAAAAAATAGGGGAAATTTCAATATTAAAATTATCAGACTGATCAGTAGACACCTTCATTACCCACAGGCATGGGAGGAGTAGGGGAAACAAAAGTAACCTGATCCTGCTCAGCTACCTCAATAACGTCCCACTTTTCTACCACATCAGAGCAGTATCATTTTTAATACAGAAAGAAAAACCTTATGTGCAGTGCTGGAAGGAAAAAAAAATGCTGCTGCAAATACCACAAATAGTGTAATATTTCAACAGCCATTTTCAATCTTGTATAAAAGTGAAACACAAGATACAAAATTGGCTGAAACATGATCATAAAATACTCCAAAGATGATGTTGAAAAATACAAAAATTGGGGGAGGTGTCTGAGAAAGGGAGAAGTATAAGAAAGATGAATAGTCAGTAGGACTCCATACCATTAGATGGTGCTATCCAGCTCCTAATGCACCCTACACCAGCTAAGCAGCATATTTTCTCTTTGAGCTCATAAATAATACATTTCAATCACAGGAACCAGGATGGTTATGGAGTGCCACCCTGCTGCCGCACATCGGCAGATGGTGCATGCTTTTAATTAGGGCCTGTTCACCTATAATGTGACACTGGGGTCCGTGAGTGAGTGAGTGTGTGTTTGTATGTGTGAAGTTAATAGAATGTATTAAATATGGAAGCTCATTCTCATCTGCAGCTGCTGTCCTAGCCAGATTTGAAGGGGAAGCTGCTTATTTCTTCTACAAAAGAAACAACCCCAAATCATTAAGATGTAGTGTAATTGATGGTTTCAAATATAATTGATAATTCAAAAATAATTGATGGTTTCAAATCACCTATATATATATAGGGTTAAACTATGCAGAAACATACAGTATTTTCTGCAAGAAAGGGTTTGAAAATGATACGAAGACCTTACACATATATATACTTTAGCTCAAAATTAAAAACAAGTAGCAAGTATCCTTTACTGCATACAAGTCATTCAAAATGCAAAACAAATGAGTAAATGCTAACTACATAAAAAAAGATAGGACTAAAACAAATCCTTGTTCAGTATAACACCTACAGACTGTTTTTTTGGTTTGTACATATGGTGCATTAATTGTTCTATTTTCTCCCCCTTCCTCTCATTACACCCAACAGTTGTTGAGAAAAAAAGATATGTACTTAAAAATTATCATCAGATCATTTTTTATCTGTCCTCAGAAAGTTGAAGGTTTTTTCCTCTTACAATTTCTTTAAATTTTTATGAACATTAATACACAAATGAAGTTACTTTACAAAGGCTTTAACATAATCTTAATTCTACGGCTACATGAATACATCTCCACACTTCAAAGACTAGCTCTGTATCTTGGTACTACTCTTTACTAGAGTAGAATTGAGATTAAATACATCACTAAAAATAAGGATAAACTGAACTCAAAGCTCAAACTCTTTGAAAAACATCCTTTTTTTCCCCTATTGATAGGTGCCAGGAGAACATTTCACCAACACTCAAAACTCTTTCAAAACTAAGCAAGAAGTGTTAAGATATAAACAACTTGGCAGTTTTGGGGGATTGTTTATTTGTTTCTTTAAACACCAGCTTTTTAAATGCAACAGTTGTGAGTAGTGTAAATTCAAAACCTCAATAATCTCTACACTTCAAGATTTTCTGAACCACTTATGTACTAAAAGGTAGTACTAACATTAGGGCATGAACAACTGAGCTCTTCTGTAAGTACAGTAATACATGTAGCAACATGTAGTACAGATACACATGCAATGAAAAGAACTTGTTCTCTCACAGATGTATCTGTCATTGCTTTGAAAGAGCACTCCTCCAAAGACCTTCTGGTTGATGAACAGACTGGTCAGCTACTCTAACGGTGTGTATTTTCCATTCAAGAAGCAGAAACGCCAAAACCAATCATGCACCATTTGAAGGCACAGATCTGAATGCCATTGCTAGAGAATATATGACTATCTTCACAAAACTTAACCACATTAATCTAAGAGAAGCACTATCTGAAGACAAATGACAGACAACACACTGGCAAGTGAAAAGGTTGCTGTACCTTATGGATTTATCCAAGCTGATATTATTAATCCCAGGTGGCACAAACAAACTGAGGGCATACAGCATTGCAACAAGTTTAAGGCAGTTTGAGTGAAGGGGAGCTGCTGCAATTTTGCCACCCTCTCTGGTGGACACAAATCCTCGCTCTGCCTCTTTAAGGCCAGGGCAGCCAGTCTGAAACTTGGTAGAGGTAAGCCAGCCTGACTGGGGAACCTGACAGAAAGCTAACCTATTAAAAGAGTTAACTTCTTTTTTTGTTGTGTTTCTTGGGGATCTCCCCCTGCCCCCCCGGGATTAGCAAACTCCACCAGCTCCGCATGGGACCAGGTGAGCATTAGCACTGACGAAGAGGGAATACAGCAGTACTGATTTAGATGGATACAGTCTGCAATAGATCCAACTGAGTGAGTCCATAAAGAAAAAGGACTCTTCAGCAAGAAGGTACCAAGCAAGCTCTCCAGAGAAACAGAATGGGAAAACAAATCTGCATACAGTACACTCAAACAGCTCGTACAGACCTTCAGGAAATTTCCTAGGAATGCAACAGTATCCATTAGGAAACATCACTGCAAATGAAAACTCGGTGCATTTCACATTCTACTATTTTCCCCACCATTCTTTGGAAACAGATATTGAAAAATGGCTGAAAGATGCAACAAGGCTTTTTCTTTACTTTTCGTCATCCAAATGCACCAAAATTTTGGTACTGAACACCTTTATCTTCTGCAGAGAACTATTAGTGAGCTAGTGACAGCAGGACCCAAGCAAGAGTGTACGGTTGAATATATTCATTCAGAGCTCTCTTACATATACACACACAAAACACTTCCCTACTTCTGTGCATCTGTCACACAATTAGCTCAGAATTAAATCAAAAGAATGCACTCAATGGTAACAGACTCAGTGTGATGACCAAAGCCACCACAAGCATGTAAGGTAACAGATGCACATCAGCAGAAAAAAGACAGAGTGGTTGGCGGTTAATATAAGAACATTATGGTCAGGGCCATAATATTACCACAGACTCAGAAGGAATGGGCACTACCTTGCTAGTATTAAGAGACAACAATGCCCCCAAATAATAGTAACACACACAGAATTACAGTTGGAAATAGTCTTTTTTCTAATACTCAGTCATTCACCTCTACCTTCAAAGAGTTCATCTTCTTCCTTCCCTGACGTACAATCAAAAAACCTAGTGTGTACTCCTAGAATGAAGCCTATAAGAAGGGGAGTCTGAAAACATAGCTGTTAAGGAAAAATGAAACCACAAGTGGTACTTCAGAAAATAATTGCTGCTTGGGGATTTAAAAATTTTCATTTCAGAATGTTTACTTATGTCATGCCTGACCAGAAAATAAAAAAAATCTGTTTCCTTTCAAGTCTTCACTCTTCTATCTTTGTGCTCTGCTAAACTAGAGTGTAAGAAAAGAAGCTGAAACATCATGCAGACATACTTGCTTCTAAGTACACAGTACTGTGCCTTCCAAATAAACCTGGCCAAGCAATGTTTTTTCTCAGCACCACTTTGCATTTACGAATATCACAACACGCTAAATATTTAAGTAGTCTTTCCAAGACAGCTTTACAGACATGTTGACATCTTGTCTTTGTGAACAAATATAATGTATTAATAGATCGCATCACAGTTATAGGCAACATACTGCAAAACATAATGGCTGTTATAAATTGCAAGTCATTGAGGATGTACATGAAACAGAAGAGGAAGAAAGTGGTATAGCCTGTGCAAACAAAACAGATTACAAGGGAGGAGGCCAGCAAGTAAAATGCATCTTTCCTTATAAGCTTTACATATATTTAAAAAATTAAGGTAAGTGATCAATAGCCAACCTCTGGGAAGCCCACTGTGGTTAATAACTCCGAAATGAAGTATATGATGCTTTTATTTAGGGACACAATGTGCAGAAGTGAGATACTGATTTACAATACAGTAACATCATATGAACTGAGGAATCCATTTATAAAAGGTCGTTGTTTCCTTTCACTAATTATATTTTCTTACCACTTTTCCGTTCCAATTAACATCTATTAACTTGAGGTAGCAACAGCATGAATGTTCAGAATTTTGCATTATTACTAGCAAAATGTGCACCAGATGAGATTTGCCTAACTGAATTTTCAGAATGACATATCGTTAAAAATGAGAAACTTTTGATAATGAAGTATCTGCAGAACATTTATTTT